CATGGTGAGAATCCTACCAATTAACTGCTAGTTTTGAAAACCTGCTCATGTTTCTTGGGATCAATGCCTTATCCATCTTGTGTGTATAAATGTATGGTTTTGCCCCTGTCTTTTTCCCAGCTTTTCTTCTTGCCCTCTTTTCATTGTCCAATCCTCAAGTTCTTGCTTTCCTTTTAATTATGTTATACCTTTCTATTTGTATTTCTTGTTTTGAGTTATCATATTAGGGAGATTATATGATATTTCCACATGTGGGTCTGATTTATTTCACTTATGAGTATATTTTCCACTTAAATTTAAATGCTTCAAGTTTATCATTCTTTATAGCTGAGTAATCCTCCATTGTATAACAATAGCCAGATCTTTTTCATCCATTCTTCAGGTTATGGGCATCTTGGTTGTTTCCAAGATTTGGCTATCACAAATTGTGCTGCTATAAACATAGGTACACATATATCACTATAATATGACATTTTCAGTTCCTCCGGGAAAATTCCCAGGAGGGTGATAGCTGGCTTGAATGGAATTTTCAGTCCTAATGTTTTAAGGAGTCTCCACACTGATTTCCATAATGGTTACACCAGTCTACATTCCCACCAGCAGTGGAGAAGGGTTCTTTTTCCCCACAGCCTGTTCAACTTTTGTTGTTGGTTGATTTCTTTATGATAGCTGTTCTTTCTGGGGTGAGATGGTATTTCAGTGTTGTTTTAATTTGCATTTCACGGATGGGTAGTGATGTGGAGCATTTTTTTCTTATATTTATTCACTTCCTTAATTTTGTCCTCTGAGAAGTATGTGTTTATCTTTGATGCCCATTTCTGGATTGGGTCTTTAAATTTAGGGTTCCTAATGTTTTTTAGTTCTTTATAAATTCTAGAGAGCAGACCTTTGTCTGAGTGATTATTAGTCAAGATTTTTTGAAATTTGTGGGTTGTCTTTTCACTCTGTTGCCAATTTCTTTTGACATGCAAAAGCTTCTCAATAAGAGGATGTCCCAGTTTTTAATTCTTTTACGTATTACCTGTGCGATTTTATTGTTGTTCATGAACTCTTTGGCTATTCCTATGTCCTCAAGAGTTCCTCCTACTTTCTCTCCCAGGAGATTTAGTGTTTCTGTTTTAATATTTAGATGTTTAATCCACTTTGACTTTACCTTAGTGCGTGGTGAAAGATCTGAGTCAAATTTTAGTTCTCAGCATGTAGAGAGCCAGTTTTTTCCAGCACCATTTGTGAAAGAGGCTATCTTTCTTCCAGTAAGCGTGTTTGGCCCCTATGTCAAAGATCAGGTGATGGAGTATGTTCATAGAGGCCTCTGCATCTTCTAATCTATTTCATTGTTCCTCAGGTCTATTTTATTGGCAGTACCATGCTGATTTTATCACAGTAGCTTTGTAGTATAATTTCAAGTCAGGAATTGTAATGCCTCCTGCCTTGTCTTTTTTGCCCAGGATTGCCTTTGTTATTCTAGGTGTTTTCTGGTTCCAAATAAATTTTAGAAATGATTTCTCTAGGCCTGTGAGGTATGTTGGTGGTAGTTTGATAGGGATTGCATTAAATCTGTACAGCAATATTAGGAGTGTTCCCATCTTCACAATATTCTTCCTATCCAAGAGCAGAGAATAACTTTCCATTTTCTGAAATCCTCTACAATCTCTTTTTTCAGAGTACTGTATTTTCCTTGAAAAGATCTTTGCCTTCTTTAGTTAAATGAATTCCAAGGTATTACATTTTCCTTGGTGCTATTGTAAAAGGTATTGTTTCACTAATTTCCCTCTCAGTGTTTTTATTATCTTTGTAGAAGAATGCTATTTACTTTTGAGTATTGACTTTGTATTCCACTATGCTACTGAATTTGTGTATCAATTCTAGTAGCTTCTTGGTGGAGTTTTTTGCGTCTTCCAAGTAAAATACCATGTCATCTGCAAATAATGATAATTTATCTTCTTCTTTACCTAGTCTTATTCCTTTTCTTTCTCTCTGTTGTCTAATGGCTCTAGCTAATGATTCCAGAACTATATTGAATAGGAGGGCTGATAGAGGACATCCTCGTCTTGTATGAGATCTGAGAGTAAAAGATTTCAGTTTTTCCTCATTTTGAATTATGTTAGTCATTGGGTTGTTATAGATGGCTTTTATCAAATTGAAGTAGAGGCCATCTATTCCAATTTTCTGTAGGACTTTGAACATGAGTAGTGATGGACTTGGTCAAAAGCCTTTCTGCATCAATTGAGATGAACATGTGGTTTTTAGATTTCACTGTATTGGTATAGTATATTATATTTATGGATTTGCATATATTGAACCATCCTTGCATCCCTGGGATGAATCCTACCTGGTCATGGTGTATAATCTTCTTGATGATTTGCTGTATTCTATTTGCTAGGATTTTATTGAGGATTTTTGCATCTATGTTCATGAAGGAAATTGGCCTGCAGTTCTTTTTTAGTTGCATCTTTCCCTGGTTTTGGTATCAGTGTAATACTTGCCTGCAGGCATGATTTTTGGAGGATTGCTTTCTTTCAATTTCATTGAAGAGTTTGAGGAGTATAGGGATTATATTGTCCATAAATTTCCTGTAGAATTCAGCTGCCAATCCATCAGGACCTGGGCTTTTCTTTGTCATAAGTTTTTTTTTTTTTAATTGCATTTTGTATTTCATTGGCTATTATTGGGTTAATGAGAGTTGTTATATCTTCTTGATTTAGTTTTGGTAATTTGTACCTTTCTAGGAATATGTCCATTTCATCTGTGTCTTCTATCTGTGAGCGTAAAGATTCTCAAAGTAGCTATTGATAATCTTCTGAATTTCAGCTGGGTCTGTGGTAGTTACACTCTTTTCATTCCTTATTGCTTGTAATTGAATTTTTTCTTTTCTCTTTTTGATGAGGTTAGCCTGGGGCTTATCAATTTTATTTAATCTTTCAAGGAACCAGGTTTTTGATTCATTAATTCTTTGAACTGTTTTTTTCATCTCAGTTGAATTCATTTCTGCTCTAATTTTTATGATTTCTTCCCATGTTTGGGCTCTGGGTTTGGTTTGCTCTTCCTTTTCTCAATGCTGGAGGTTCAACATTAGGGGGTTTATTTGTCCTCATTCTGTTTTCCTAATGTGTGAGTTCACAGTTATAAATTTCCCTCTGAGAAATTCTTTCATCACATCCCATAAGTTCTCATAAGTTGTAGTTGAATTTTCATTTAATTGCAGATATCATTGAATTTCTTGTTTAATTTCATCTGCATTTTTGTTTGTTTGTTTGTTTGTTTGTTGTGTTTTTGGCTGGCTCAGCCTGCCCTGAAGGCTGGGCTGCCACAGCATATAGTGCCAGGGATGGAACCACGGTCCATTGACCTGCCTATGATTGCCTAAGCAGTTGCTTTATACTGCTGAGCTGTCTTGCTGGCCCCATGTAATTATATATTGTTAACTGTGATCTGAAGAAAAAGTACTATTAAAATTTACTGTTGAAAATATAATTTTCACTTGTTTCATAAAGAAATCTGGTGGTATATTTCAATAAATGAAATTCTTTTGAACTTGCTATCTCAATCGTAAGAATATCTCTCACTGATATAAATTTACAGAATTGTAGTTATTACTGATATATTGGTAGGTTTTTAGTAAAGGAGAGTAATAAGTGCTAAAGAACATCAAACTGCATGTAGTAGAGCTATATATGAAGTACAGAAATCTTACAATTCTAGTTCAGTCTAGTCCAGACTGCAACAAACATTCACAGATCAATTCAATCACAGAATTGCCTGCAGGCATTTTGTATTAATTTACTTTCTTATTATGACATTTCTGCTGTTGACTCACTAAGGTTACTATGTTTTTATATATTAAAATATTAATGCATCCATCTAGGTATGTTTTATTCAGTAGTATATTAGTCAATTAATAGGAAGTATTTCTTTAATAAGCTGAAGATTTCAGTCTTTGGAGTGTGCAACTTAGCTACAGTCCTTGTTACTTGATGGAACCATAGTTGTGTTGTCCAGCTAATACTTTAAACAAAAGAATTATCATTAGTCCATGCAGAAAGATAGTAAACAGTTGGTTTCATGTTTCACCACAGAAAGTCCTTTTCTTATGCAGTGCTGATGGGACTCGATGACTTCCCTACGTTACATTTCTCCAGATCCTGAGTAGCAAAGTCCACTGAGTCTTGCTACCTGTGACCTGTGCTCACCTGAAGTCAACCAGATGTGGCATGTGGCCTTTTGAAGTCAGGAATGCTGATGGCAGCCTTTCTTGGGGGCCAGTGACTAATATGGTTTTAACCTAATAGGAGCTGCCAATTTTCTTAAACTAATCAATCATTAGTCAGTTTTACTTTGAAAGTCTTAATATCATGGGCTAAATAAAAGTAATGAGTAATGGAAGTAACCATTTTGATGATTCAAATATAATGTTGATGATTACTTCATATTGCAAAAGTGAAAAGAAAGGAGGAAAGTAAGAGTTTTTAGTGACAGGAAACAGAAGGAAGTGGAGACAAACAAAATAGCACAGAGGCATGGTGATTACAGAGAAAAGGTAGAGAACATTTCTGAACTAAAAAGATTTTTTTTTTAAATTTTAAAAAAGACATTACTTTTTTCCTAGCTGTTTGCATTCTTCAAGTCTCAGGCCAAACTCATCTCTTACAGAAGACTTCTAGCTTGTTCTATACATTACACAGATAATTTTAGTAACTATAAAACTAATTTGTTAAATAATTTATACTGTTATGTAATCTATATATTTTATAATTTTTCACATCTTCCAGTTTATATTTAATGATCATGAATAACATTTTAAAGATCAAAGGAAAATTTGCTTCTAAAATCTCAGCAGTGTTATTTTAACCAACTAAATTGGATTTGAAATCATTAAGATGCAAATTTGTACTCTGGTTATATTAGTAGTCTGTATAAGATTACATTTGAAAGAAGATATAATTTTCAATTTCAGATTTAGCATACAAAAAAATCTTCTCAATTTTCTGTTTTGATAATAGGACATCTCCAAGTTTGCAGAGAAAGACAATATAGTGCTTGGAGAAGGTGGAATCACCCTGAGTGGAGGTCAGCGTGCAAGAATTTCCTTAGCAAGGTGAATACCCGATTATTGATCTAGCAAACATTTGCTGTAATTTTCATGAATGTAAAACATTGTAGACATTTCTCTCCCTTTATAGTGTGTTTCTATAATTTAAAAATTGAGGTATATGGTTAGTGAGTTAAAAATGTCACCTTGCAGAACTATAGAGAATGATCCTACTTATCGATTTGTTAAAAATAAGGGCTTTTCAAAATGCATTTTCTGATTTTGGTCTGTGTATACTTGTTTGCCTTGTGACATGCTTCACTACAACCTGAAAGCCCTGGAATTCTGCAGAGAACAAGGAAAGAGAAGCTATAAATAGGGACTCATCTCTAGGTGTAGCCTGAAGAGAAGCGGCAGGAGGAAGGAGAAAAAGATAAACAAGAGACAAGAACTGGGTTCAGGCAAGGCCTGTTTGCCTGATGGGAAAAGGATTGAAAGGACAACAGTAGGGACATTTGTTCATGTTCCTGAAAAGTTAGTGTCACAAGACACAAGGTTGTCTAGCAACTAATAACTGAAATTGTCCAGGCAAGATAGTTTTATCAAGACTATGGTAGCTTGACTGCTTTAAGCATTGTGGCCTTGACCTGCCCTCACATATATGATCAATTTCCAGTTGCAGCTGCTCCCAACATACAAATTAGTATTGCCCCTGTCATGCAGCCCTGTCCCCAACCTGCATGGTGTGACCTCCACTGTGGTGTAAGCTTCTTTTTATGCTCCTTAGTTTTCATAAGCATACATTTTCAAAAACTTACCACAATTTATAACTTTCATAACAAAATAGTAAGGTTAAGTGTAACTTGTATTAACATCTGTAATCTTCAAAATAAATTAATATGGTAAAGAAATGTGACATTGTACAGGTGGAATTTCCCTTGGTAAAGACATCCTCGGCACAAGCATTTAGAAGCTGTCAAAGAGAGTTGCATATGGTTAATTTATGTTATGAAGAAAACATTATAACTTTGAGAAAAAAGTTACTGGTGCTGTGGGATGTCAAATATTCCTCAAGTTTTATATGAGCAAAATTCTTCTTGATGTGTTTTAGAGTTATTAGAAAGAAATCACTTTCATTGGCTTGGTGTGTTGGCATCTTTGCCTTATTCTTTTCTGCTTCTAAAAGCTGAGACAAAAATCTAACTCTGCACACTTGCAGTTGCCTAATACCACTCTGTGTGTGTGGGAAAGAGATGGAGAGACAAACAGACCAAACACACACACAGAGAGAGAGAGAGAGAGAGAGAGAGAGAGAGAGAGAGAGAGAGAGAGAGAGAGACAGACAGACAGACAGACAGACAGACAGCACTCAATCCTTCTCCAGCCCTGCAGAGAAAGAATTATTCTTCCTACTTTTAGAAGAAACATGAGATAACTATGGGTATTAGATTTGCCAAAAGCCATGTAGAAATTATAGAGTTACAATCCAAAACAAATGCTCTTAGTTCTTTATATTAAACTATCCCTTCATCTTGGGAATTGCAGTGTGAGATAATGCATCAATAGCTATAGATAATTTCCACTTGAAATAATGGCTTCTAAATAATTGGAATTTGATTGATTTGCATGTGTACCAAAGATGTAAGTCCTCTGCTCCAGATTTAGGTAAGGTGTATGGATTCTGGTCATTCAACAAAGAGTTAGCATTTACCAGTGTAAGACTTGGTCTTATTTTAAGGTGTTTGAGATACTACTAAAAATCATATTTTTATTTCGGTTAGAATGTGTAATGTGCTGTCCAATTTGGGCTAATGAATGTATTATTTCTAATCTCTGAAAAACTGTGGCTATAGGTATGAAAGAAAGTATCTTAATCTGTTATCTATTGCTAATAACATTATAGATGTGAGTTATAAAGAAAAACAGTTTATTTTGGCCCTCATTTCTGGTCAAGGTCTCCTATTGGGTGACAGCCTGTTACCAGCAGCGTGCTGAGGACGTGCAGGGCATCCATGACAGCAAGACACAGGAGGCGCAGAGAGTGAATGCTGTGTCTCTGTGCGTGTATATGCGTGCATGCGTGTGTGTTCTCTCCGCTGTTGCTTTACAGTCGAGTTCTCAGTCGTGGAAGCTCAACCTGGTTGACTTTATCTAATTCTAGTCATTTCCCAGAGGGTCATGCTATAAACATCACAGTTGAATTAACTCTAGTTTCAGAGAGGACAAACATATTGAAACCTTGTTAGAAGTAAGCACCAAGTTTGGGAAAAGAAAACCTTTAGTTCTTTCACATATTGTCTTTAAATATAGTGTGTACTATAAACAGTCTTTAGATCTTACTTTGAAGTTTTGCTATTTCTGGCTAGCTTAATTACTTCTCTTAATTATATATTCATTGAATTCATCTTCTTTTTTAAAATAAAATTTCCCAGAATTATGTAATTACAAAATCCTGTGTAGTTGATATAGAGATGGTATAATTAACAATTATGTCTGGAAAATTTAAATGTCATGATGAAATTACTTCATTTCCATTAATATGAAAACTATTTTATTACTCTTATAAATCAACTTCAGTGGAAATATTATAATACTACTTTATAAGATTTAAGTTTTTAATTTCACAGTAAGATAATATGGATATAATTGTAAATTTTTCATCGTTTACTTATTTGAAACTTTTATGAAAATGGTAGATTTTGAGATTATAAGCAAAAAAGCACAATATCCAGTACCCAGCCATGACAACACAGCTAGCAATTTGTGGGTAGCAGTGAAAGCTTTGAAAAACTTTTAAAAATGATTTTACGTAGTGCTGTAATTTGCTGTCTCTGTCATTTCAAAGATGGAAGTAGTGTGCTTTCTTATTTGTATTCCCAGGAAAGTGAAAGACCATTGAGGGTAGATACTGTGTGACTGTGTTACCAATATGAGGAATGGTGCTAGGCTCTAACTAGATGCTCTATTAATTAATTAATTTATTTATTTCTTATGTATTTAGGGCAGGGTCTACAGGGTCTCACTATATAGATTGGACTTGTAGTGATCCTCCTGTTTTCAGCCTCCCAAGCACTGGGATTACAGGCATGTGCCACCGCGCCCAGTCTCAATTGTCATCTCAGCATGCCATGGGGGCCAGGCTAGCGCGGCAAGCCTGGAATCAAACCCCTGCCACTGTGTCTGCCTAAGCAGGTGCTTTAATCTGCTGAGCTATTTGGCTGGCCCATCTGAGATATTTCTATCTATGCTATGAACAGTGTTATTTCAATGAATGGATGTAGTGAATACAATGTAGAGAACTGTTTTTTTTTAAATAAATCATTTATATTTACTAAATAACATGATAAATATTGAGGAAATCTAATTTAATGTCCATTTCTTTTTAGAGCAGTATACAAAGATGCTGATTTGTACCTGCTAGATTCTCCTTTTGGATACCTAGATGTTTTAACAGAAAAACAAATATTTGAAAGGTATGTCCTTTGCATAACTTATTTGTAATGCTTATAGTAAAGATGAGAAAAAGGAGTACACTGTCACAAGCTACAGACAGTGTTTTGAGACATGCTGTCACTCACTGGGGACCAGTGCAACACACTTGCCAAGCTGCTGCCCTTCACTGGCAGGACTGAAAGCTGCTTCTGCTTAAACCCTTTTAGAGCATTGCCTGCTAAATTGATTTCTCCTATTGCTATACTGTTCCAACAGTTGCTATTATATATATAGTTTCTGCAGTATTACTACTTTGTGATGTATCTTCTATTATTTAATTGGTTATTATATTTAAATTGTTAAATACATTTTTTGTATTTTAGTATTTTATGTCTCCTTGCTAGAAAGTAAACTGCTCAAGGACCTACCCGTGGTAAATGGTGGGATGCCATTTACCTCAGTACTGCCTGGAAGTCTCCTCCTCACTCACCCAAAGCTCTGAATTTCTGTGTCCATGGAGCTCTTGTTAGGGTGCAGTATATGAAGTTCCTGAGAACAAGAGTTAGTGAGATGACTTAATTTCAAGGTTTCAAAATTATTTCATAGATGATAATTTATTAGTGGCATCGTCACTATATACATGTCTAGAAATATTTTGAACAGTAAGCATGTAAATATGTGTAATGTATAAAATGGTGGTATAATTTCTAGAATTACTCATTCTAGAATTTGAATTTATTTATTGCCTACTTCAAGCTTTTATTTTAGCAGATTTTTGAGATCTGAAATATTCTGGAATATTGCTGACTGATTTGTAATTTCCTGAAATATTTTCAGTCCTGTTCTTTAACAACATAAAAGCATGAAGCCAAGGAGAGCTGCTTGGCTAGGCTCCATTTTTATTTTTTGAAATAGAATTTTTTTTTCTGTATTTTAGGGAAGGGTCTACATGGTGTTTAGGGTCTCACTACTAGATCAGATTCATAGTGATCTGCCTGTTCACAGTCTCCCAAGAGCTGGGAGTACAGGTGCATGCCACCACGCCCAGTCTCAATTGCTGTCTCACTGTGCACAGGGGACAGGGCCAGCACGACAGGCCTGGGGATCAGCCCCCCCCACATCCCACCCCTTAGCCTGTTTAATCCACTGAGGTATTTGGCCGGCCCCTTGAAGTGAAATTCTGCGGCACTGTTTCATTCGACATTTTCAGTTGACTTTACTCTCACTCAAGTGACACTAGATACTGGAATGCTTTCTCACTTAAAAATTCCGGGGTGACTTTCTCCCAGCCTCTTAGAATGAGCTGCCAAGTACTATCAACAGCATCTCCATTCAGATTATCCCCAGTTCTCATTTTACTCATTGACTTCCTCACCAATCTGTATTGATGTGCTTGCTATTATAAGATATTTTATGAGTTAAGCCTCTTACTTTTATTCTTAATCTAATGAGGAAGGCATTCAGCTTTCCCCAAAGCTTATTTTATCTCTTCCAATATGCCCTTTTATTAAGATCTCACATTAAAACTGCAGTTATCTTTGAGATCCCTTTGTTTGTCCTGCAGTGGTATCACAGAGCCTGCTTTCCTTATACTTTGGAAAATGCCAAATAATTTCCAGCATTTTAAGCATAGAGTAACTCAAATTAGGGCAATTTTTAAAGTCATTTAAAAACAACAACAACAACAAAAAAAAAACACCAAGAGCATAAATTCACTTTTATTTATTTACTTTACAGTCATTTAAACCTTAAGCAGTACAGCATCATAGATTCTGTGTCCAGTGGCATTATCAAAGAAAGTTGCTTTAAAGTTATGAACCATCCCAACATTTCCAAAGGCGTGTTGCATTTCCCCATGTTATTCTGGTTTCAGTTTGCCTCCCAGAGTCACTATGCCGTGTTTTGCTTTATACACCATAATATACAATTTTATTCTGTACATAATCATTCTGATTTTAAGAAGAACGAAGTGGGACCTTTGGAGACCCCACTTAGAGCCAGCAGAAAGGGTCTGCATCAGTCTTCTGGACGCATTTGCCTTTTAGGCATCCCCTTCCTGTCAGGCCTCTTCAAATGCCAGGATGTCAGAAAGGGCAGCTTTACTCCAATTTAATATCCAAAATACTCTTTTCATGATCTTGGTACTATGGCATGTGGCTTCTCGCCACCAGAAAGCTTGCTGCATTTATGTTGTTGTTTATAGTGTTACATTTGTGTGGACATGTATGATGTCTTTTTTATATGGTATATGATATTTTAAGGGGTGATAGATTTAGTCAGGATTTACTTTTAGACTAGAGGAAAACTTTACTAGAAAAAAATCAAATTTTATTGTCAAATTCTCAGTTATGTTTTTAAAAATAGTTTAGTATTAATATGGGTCAACCAAAAATGTAGGAGGAAATTAACTAACAGAAAATTTAATGAACAAAAAAGCTTTTAACACTTTAGAAGATATATGAAAATTTAGACTCGATAGTAATTTGTTTAAAATTAGACACCCACTGAATATCATAATTTTTTAAAAATTTGATGTATTTGGTACAGGGTCTCAGTATGCAGGTCAGACTCATAGTAATCCTCCTGTTTCAGCCTACCCAGCACTGGGATTACAGGCATGCCATTATGCCCGGTTTCAGTGGCCAGCTCAGCATGCCTGGGGCAGGTCTGGTGGGGCATGTGGTGCCAGGGATTGAACCCAGGTCCCTGCACTTGCCAGGCAGGTGCTCAGGCTGCTGAGCTATCCCCCCAGCCCCTGCATATCATAAATTTAATTTTGTTGTACATCTCTTAGCAATCAAGTTTATAGTTATTTCATGCTATAATAATTCAAGTAGTACCAAATGGATTACTAGAAAGTATTTACTTTTAGAATCATGTTAAGTATAATGATAGAATGGTATTACAGAGATTTTATACAATAAAACATTAGTTAAGTGCTAAAGTAAAAATATACATATTATTATAATGAGATATTTGTGAAATTGTTATTTATATTTCTTTTATATTTTTAAGCTGTGTCTGCAAATTGATGGCTAACAAAACTAGGATTTTGGTCACTTCTAAAATGGAACATTTAAAGAAAGCTGACAAAATATTGATTTTACATGAAGGAAGCAGCTATTTTTATGGGACATTTTCTGAACTACAAAACCTACGGCCAGAGTTTAGTTCAAAGCTCATGGGATATGATTCTTTTGACCAGTTTAGTGCAGAAAGAAGGAATTCAATTTTAACTGAGACTTTACGCCGTTTCTCCTTAGAAGGAGATGCTTCTATCTCCTGGAATGAAACAAAAAAACAATCTTTTAAACAGACTGGAGAGTTTGGGGATAAAAGGAAGAGCTCAATTCTCAATTCAATCAACTCTATAAGAAAATTTTCAATTGTGCAAAAGACTCCATTGCAAATGAATGGCATTGAAGAGGATACTGATGGTCCTTTGGAGAGAAGGCTGTCCCTAGTTCCAGACTCCGAGCAGGGAGATGCAGTTCTGCTTCGCAGCAGTGTGATGCACACTGGCCCCACGCTCCAGGGCAGTAGGAGACAGTCTGTGCTGAACCTGATGACACACTCAACTAGCCAAGGACAGAGCATCTGCCGGAGGACAACAGCACCCTCGAGAAAAATGTCATTGGCCCCACAGACCAACTTCACAGAGATGGATATATATTCAAGACGGTTATCTCAAGAGAGTGGCTTGGAAATCAGTGAGGAAATTAACGAAGAAGATCTGAAGGTATGTATAAATTATTAGCACCCTCCCAATGTAATTAAGTCCAATGTAGTGTATTTTAAGACTTTGGAAAGGACATACACCATAGGTTATGTGAGCAACTTCCAAATATAAAGTAACCAGCTCTCCCCAGTTACAGTGGTTCTACATCTTATCATAAGATGTGTTACATGCCAATGCAAAGTTTATTGCTAAGTCCTTTACCATGCCAGCGATATTCGTTATTATAAATTAAAAGAAATCTGCTTGTTACTACTTGAATCCTCTGTGGGATGAATTCAATATAGCATTAGCTCCTGTTAGGTAAAGATCAAGAACTACTTCACCGTGATGGAACTCATATAGGGAGTAAAAACATCTGGTCTCTTGACAGGACTAATACATTCTGATTTAAACATTAGTCTTGCCTGAATTTGCCTAGTATGGGCTTTATTTATTTATTTTAAAGAATACAGTGATAGGAAAAAAACAGCATTAGAAAGGATACAAAATTTCATCAAACTACATGGTTGCTATCTTCAAGTTAGTTGTTCAGCTTATGTGCAAGATTGGTTTAAAGGAAAAACAAAACAATAGCAAAAAGTTGTAAGAAATTGAAAATAATTATAAAAAAGAAAAAAATTTAAGCATTAACTGTTTCTTTCAAAATACCAGCAGAAATCAGAAGTACAGTTATCCAAATTATTTTGCATATACCCAATGGAATATTATTCAACTATAAAAAAGACAAAATTTGAGGCTTTTGTAGATAAATGGATGTGAGAAACTATATTGGAACGGAAGTAAATCAGACCCACATGTGCAAAGATCATGCTATCTTGCTAGTGTGAGAACCTGAAAGTAATGAAAATCTGAGAGATACAACAGATACTGTGAAAGGGAAAGGGTTTGTTTAATGAGAAAGAAAAATTGGGATGAGAAAAGGACAAATAGTGTGGGCTTTTTAATCTTTCTTTCTTTCTTTCTTTCTTTCTTTCTTTCTTTCTTTCTTTTTTTTTTTTTTTGTGGAACTGGAGATTGAACTCAGACCCTTGCACTTGAAATATTCTCTTCTAAGTGGAAGATCATATGAGGTTGTTTAGTTTTGTTTTGGTTTTTTTGCACCGGAGATTGAACTCAGGACCATGTGCTTGCCACGCGGGCGCTTATGCCGCCGAGCTATCTCCCTGGCCCCTTAATCTTTCAAATTTGTATCAGGCATTGGATTTCTGAAACAGTTTCTGTTAAAGGATGAAAATCTTTACACAGAAAGTTTGTTTTAGGGCTGAGGGTTTTGCTCAGCTGCACAGCACCTGCCCAGTCCTCAGGCAGTGCAAGGTCCTGAGTTCTATTGCCGCTTCCAAAAAGTCTGTTTTATTATTGAATCAATTGATTTATTTGAATTTTCAAGGCAGAGTGTTGCTGTCTAGTTTGGGCTCACTGTGTAGTCCAGGCTGGCCTTGACCTCAGGGCCATCTTCCGCCCTGCCTGGTGCTGGGATCACAGGTGTCAGCCACCGTGCTCAATTGTTTTATTATTTAAAGAACAAGATGTTTCAATTATTAAGAACACAAATCCATATAAATAAAGAGGGTTAGGTGTTGTGTTTTTACAAGAAAACTTACATACCTTGGGTAAAATAAACTACAAGCACAATTGTAATGAATTGACCGGTTCAATAGTTCAGATCACTTAAAAGCAGTGTGGTTTTGACAAGTCATTTAATATATCCAGTTCAGAATATTCTCCCTTGTGAAAAAGAGGAGTAATACCTAAAACACATATTTTCAATGTTTACATTATTTTAAAGAAGGTTCCTATATGATAATCCATCTATAATATTAAATATTCATCTAAGTGAATTACTCAAATCTAAGAAACTTTATAGCAGATAGTCATATAGCCTACAAATTTTCTTGAAAAGAATGATTTCTTTGACTAATTAGTATTTATTGGTTGCTTGTAGTGCCATTGAGCACACCTTAGTCCCCAGCCTTGTGCGAGGGACCATGGATATATCTTCACCCTCCTTAACAGATAAGGAAACTAACTGAAATCAGAGCTCACATATTTGCTTTAAAGCAGCCACTGAGGTATCAAAGGTGGAACTTGGATTCAAGTTTAGGCCTATTTGACAAATAAATACAAAAACATCTCACTTCTAATCAAAGTACTGTAGCCCTGTTTCCTAGGACCTGTCCTCATGGTTCTGTCACTTCTGGGAGTGTTGCAGAGCTCATAAGATTGTTTCTTTCACATTAGACCATCAGGAATCTTTCTTTCAAATTTTTGAAATGCATTTGCCGGAGGACAAATACAGATTCCTAATGGAATATACCTAAGATTAGAATTATGTAATCTAAGTGATGCTGAGGAAGAATTAACCTTGTGCTACTGTGGAATGTACAAACCAAAATTGGCTGTCAGGCTAGTAAAACGCGAAGCTGTACTTGTCCAATGACCCTTGGAGAAACAGGACAAATCAAGGAGAATTCTGAGAAACTTCCTTTTGATAATGTTCATTTTAACAGGCGTGGCACTTTCAAGCACTTAAATACTAAAATTGTCATATAATAAAAAGTTATAAAACCCATGATATAATTTTAGAATTTTGAAGAATTAGTTTTTCTCATTTTTGGAAAAGCAATGTAGCTCCAGTGGATATGAAATTCCTTTATTTATACATATTAAAAATAAAACCATAATGGTGGCATGAAATAGTATTGTCTTGTTGTAATAACTGACTTTTTCTTCAGGAGTGCTTTTTTGATGACGTAGAGAGTGTACCAACAGTGACCACATGGAACACATACCTTCGCTACATCACTATCCATAAGAGCTTGTTTTTTGTGCTGATTTGGTGCTTAATTGTTTTTCTGGCTGAGGTAAGAATGTTCTGTTACAAGATAGTACTAGGATTTCAGGTTAAATTAAAAACAGTTTGGAAAGGTTTACTTGTATATATATATGTGCAATTTGATGGTGCATAGGGGTATAGTTTCACATATAGTTCTTATCTTCTATAAATCAATAGTTAATATGTTATTATTTTATGTATAGCATGTATAATATTCTTAAATGTCTACTATATGAAATTTTAAAAATAAATTTTATTGCACATATGTAAAGTATTTAACATGATGAAATTCATACAGTTACTTCAGTAAAGCACATGAACCTGTTCATCATTGCCAGTAACCACTCTTGGCAGCGAGAGCAGCTATGATCCATTCATTTAGCTTGAATCCCAATTTTACTAACTATAATCTTTATGTCATATGTTCATTATATCTCAGGCATGAAAAAATTTTAAACATTTCCTAAGTTCAAAGTATAAAACTTTTCAGTTACTATTTGAAATAATTCTGTACTACATTCTAAGTTCACTTAATGGTAGATATCATACCATTAAATATGTAAGTAATGACTCAAAAATGAGATAAATATGTTAGTGATTTAAAATAATTTTAACACTTCCAGAGATACAAATCACCCACTTGCCTAAAGAAATGTGTGTGTCTCACCGCCATCACTGTGGTTCCTTTGCTACACCTTTGCTGTCCTTCATTTTACTAAGTTTAAAAAAAAATGGGAGAAGCAGGTAGCACAGCAGGCCACGGAGAGGTCTGGAAGGCTGGCAGCAGGCCGGGCTCCCTCTAGCTGAGCACCCCGTTGTGTTCCAGAAGAAGCCTGGCAGGGAGCGCCGTGGGGTGGGGTGTGAAGGCAGAGCATTTGCCCACCAGTTGTCTGAAAGGGCAGCTATACCCAACACCAGCAAAAGGCTTGCCATGGGGGAATGTGGAATCCCTTTACGTAGCTGATGAAACAAATACAAATAAGCACTATGTAGGCACAATAAGACATGGCAATGGATTGGATTCTGCCTGTGGAAAAATTAATCCGGATACTTATTCCAAAGGACGTCCCTTGGTATATCCTAAAGTGAAACCTAATTCTAACCTGAGGGTCCATTCTTGCCTTTAGGGGAGAAACTGCTGCAGTGAAAATTGCCTCTCCTGAGGCAGTAGAAGGCTAGGCCTACAAATACATGTATTTCCTATTGTTAGATTGATTTTAGCCTCAGTTCAGAAGGTAGTCTCATTTTCCATGGTCTTGTAAAATAGTGTTAAATATATAAAGTCATATGCCAAAAAAAGTTGTACATGCTTTTCCATGGTTTCCCATTTAATTCTGAATTTTGGTAATATCTGTTTCTTTTCCCTGTTGTTTTAAATTAACAAAACAAAGAGAGACTTGTTTTGCAATTGAGTACAGAATAGTGCCTAGCCTGAGTTTGGTCTTCTAAATGCATACTGCTTCTAATGTCTTACCAATTATTGTTATACTCTCTTTAAAGTAATTTTTTTAAAAAGGTAATAAAAGAAAACAAGAGAAAAGAAAAAAAAAGTCATAGGATTGTCCTGCTATAATGTTGTATATGGTTTGGTTTCTAAATTTCTGTGTAAAAATGTGTTTTTTTCATGTTCTATAGGGATTTAAATTTTAGAATATCCATGGTTGTTGGAACATAGTAGTTCAGTGTTATGTCTAAGGCATTTGATATTCAGACAGGTAGTGATGTTAAGCTCAACTGCCTCTGTTATAGGGTAATAATATCAATAAGCTTCTCCTCTGGATGTTTAACAACTAAAGTTTGCAGAGCAAAATTTAGAGAAATAGAGGGGCTACAAGGATAGGCAATATTTTGGCCCTAGCACTTCGTGAGAACTCAGGGCATAAGAGAACCTCTGCTGTGGCATCCTCTCAGTGGTGTCCCAGATTTCCTGATCAAGGAGATTATGGGGCCACAGAGGAAAGTTATTGATGATGTAGAGTGTGCCTAAGGAGAGTCGCTTGGAGAGAAAAAATTCTCTCAGGCTTTCACAGAGGGCAAATTGGTCAAGCAATGGCCATGATTCATCCAGATGGCTGACACTGACAAAAGATCTACAAGGTCCTCTTCATGGTTACAGCATAAATCCTGGGATTTGAATGAGCTTGTCAGATACAAAAGTTACATTTCTTGTTATATAGGTCTTGCTTTAACTTGGTCTTAACCATCCAGCAGAAAAGTGTAACCACAAGGTATAAAAAGTAAAGCTATATTAATATGCTGAGCTGTAAAAGGCTCAAGTCAACAACTTTGAACATTTTCCAGTTGTACTGATAACTCACTACTATTATGGACTTTTGTACTATATTGGGTTATTTTGCTGAATTCAAGTACCTACAGCCTTTAGACTGGCTTCAAGTATAAGAAGTCTTGTAAAGATTTCTCCGAATACAGCTTCTCTAACTGCAGTGGAATACCTATCTCTTAAAAAACAAAACAGAAAAGGGGATATGTTGGGAGCCACGAAGCTAGGAAATCGATCGAATATATGTAGGTAGGACTTGGCCCAGTGCTAAAGCAAACAGGCTACCTCACTCCTGAGATGAGCCTCCTGTCTGGTTAAGGTTAGCCATCAGCTGCCAGGCAACCTAGTGTCATGCATTACTAACCTCACAAAAGTGTAAATAAAAGACAGTTTTGTTGTGAAAAAAAGGGAAGGAAAAAATGTGTGTATGCACAGGAGAGTTAGGATAGATGTACAGCTACTTTTTCTTAGTTCACTGAAAATAGAAGTTTGTACTAATATTGTTTAGATAAGATACCATGTCTACACCTTGTCCTCTGATTAATTGCTACAAAGACAATAATAAGCAATGTATTAATTACAGTAAACATCTTACTAATTTGTTTTGAAACCGTTTCATTACTATTTTATCTTTTTTCATTAAAATGAATAAAAACTTAAGAGTCCTGATTATCATATTAACAATGTGAAGCTAAACAAGTTAGTTTACCTCTCTGAGACTCCATTTCCTCAGCTATACAAAAGAAAGTGAAAAAGTACCAGTTTATTAGACCATTTTGTGGGTTAAAAAGCATCGTGATAAACGCTTAGCGATGTAGGGTTTGGTTCTTCTTATCATTAGCGTCATAGCCTTATTATGAGGCTTAAGACAGTCAGGTAAACAAGGCTGTATCACTCTATATGAAAATTTCAGTAGTTCATTTACACTTTAGCACAAATATGATGTGGGGTAATTTGACATGTAGATAAGAAAAATATGCTGTTGAAGTGTGTCACAAGATTTACCTCATTAATATCTGCAGTCATGCCAGATGACTAACATTAATAGGTACAAAACTCACCCTGTGCCCCATTTAATCTCAAACAGGCTTTCATAATTGTTAGTAATTTGATCCTCTGTATTGAAAGATTACATTATCTGATTTGTTATAGATTCAGTCTGAATATGGTGGTGATAATTGTTAATTTGTAGGACTTTTCTCCTGTGCAATTGAATAGAATTGAACTTGTGTGCCTTGCAGAATAATTGTATATTAAACGATTCATAGCATTGAGCCACTATGCGTTTCTAGAATATTATGATTCATTTAAGGAAACAATGGTTCATTGTTATCAGGCAATGTACATTATGAAAGAGTATATAAATACTATACAACTGCCCATGATTAGTTGAGTTCTTGCACTTGCTCCAAAAAAGTTGTCTTTATTTTTGTAATGGATAAAATGATTGATGATCCTTCTTCTGAGCAAGAAATAATAAATGCTGAGCTTTTCTCATTCTTCTATAGGTAGCAGCAATTAACTAGCTCTTAAAATTTGAATGACAAAAAATTTTGAATAGCAGAAACATGATAGAACATAGTAATTTTAAATTATATGCTTAATTATATGCCTGAACAATTCATTCACTAGTGTTTACAATCCTGTTTCCATCTTTGAATCAAGTTAAATGGTTTTTCTTCTAGATTGAACTTCTTTTTTTTCCTTTTATTAAAAATAATTTGTATAGCACATTTGTAGTATGTAATATATTTATTGTGGGGAGTCTGAACATGTGCATGACACATCTTAATTCTTTTTTTTTTTTTTTTGGTCACCTTCTCCTTCCATCCCTCCCTGTTCCCTCCAGTTCTTCTTCCCCTTCCCACTTCCAAAAGCTCTAATTCCATTTTTTCTACTCTTTTTTAAAAAACGTTTTCCTTCCTTCTCTCTTCCTCCCTCCATCTCTCATTGCCCTTCCCATTTGAAAAATGCCTCCCTACTTCCAATTATCTTTATTTTACTCTTTGTTTACACCCACTTCTCATTTCCAGTGAACACGTCATTGGTACTTCAATTGTGTTACAGGTGATAGATAATCCATCATGGTAGTTAAGTTATTTGAAAATCTGTGTCTTAGTTACTTTTCTCTCATTGCAGGGACAAAATACCTGTCACCCAAAGTTAAGGAAGGAAAGGCTTATTTAGCTCAAAGTGGAGGTTTTAGTCCGTAATCAGCTGGCTTAAAGGTAGAGTGGCACATGGCAGAGGGCAGCCATTCACGGCAGTGGAGAACAGCAAAGAGCAAGAGCCAAAAGTGGGGAGCAGCTGCGGCAGCTGGCAAGCCCCTCTCCCTTCCTTATGTTGTAGTCAAGCTCTCTGCCCCAGGGCGAGTGTAGCACTCACACCCATAATCCTAAGCTTTGAATCATGAATTAATCACAGATTCTAGAAGCCTACCCCAATGACTGCCTGAAGCTTTGAGGGGACAATCAGACACAAACCATAGCACCCTGCTTAGAGAATAATAAAGTATGATCATCACTATGTACAATGAATATTTAAATAAAATCTATTACAATAAAATATGTTGCTATGAATCTTCTATAAATCACTCCCCATTACTTCCAACACATTTGTCCACTTTGTGAAAGAGTTCTCCAATTCCTCTTTCATGGGTGTCTTTCACGAGGCTTGATTAAAAATACAGTGAATGCTGTCATGTGTCACCCAAGGAAAAAGCATGCTTGTAGGCACACACTGTGGGCATCTGCATCTGCCTTACTCACTGGATCTGGAACAAAGAAAATAAGAAAAAAGTTCTATTATGCTGATCATTCTAGTGGTCTTCTTGGCAGTGCATCATTGACTGAACAGAGAAGAGAAGCACAGGATAAATTAGGGAATGTTCTCCAGCAGCCACACCGTGTCACTGATGGGAACAGCTGAGGATGCTGTATAGTCCTTCCGTTCTATTAAGACTGTGTCAGGGATCTGTTATTACCTATTCTTTCCTGGCTTCCTTTCTGTCTGCTGATGAGGAATCCTTGAGTAGCTTTACACTGTTAAAGAAACAGAGATTCAACATACTCCCATTAAAGTATACAGTGTTCTGTGTGACAGAGAATGATGCCTAAAACCTTCAGAAAATGGAAAACAGATTTTTGCCTTCCCTGTTTACTATTCAGGACTGTCACTGTATCTAAAATTGCATGATATTTATAACCTCAAAGCATGTTGGAAATGAATTCTAGAAAGCACTCATTTGTATCTAGGCTGGCGCTTATGCTGCTGAGCTATCTCCCCTGCACTTTTCATTTGTATCTCGATGTCCAAAATATTTTTACTAAAGTTAGTAAGTCAAGTCTTTGAAAATATTTTTATTCTAGTCATTTAAAGGAGTTTGGACTGGAAAATCAATGTGGGTTGATTTTAGTGCAGTGACTATGCAATGAGTAGTTCTTTAAAAGACTCATTTGGTTATTCCATTTGTAAATATTATAAAATATTTATTTCTTTGTATAAAAACTCACATCTTGTTTATCTGTTCATCAATTTGGGCTGTTTGTAATATTTAGCTAGTGTTGCTCAGCTGTAAAGAAGGGTAAACTTGAGACATTCCTAGGTAAATGGATGCTCCTAGAAACCGAACTCTTCAGTGAAATGAATCAGACACGTGTCTAAATATCACCTTTTTTCTCTGTTGTAAGAAGCTGGGAGTGTGTGTGCAGGCCAAAGTGCATAGCAGATATTGTGGAATTGGAAGGACATTCAAATGGGAAAGGACACAAGAGGGCAGAAAGGGAAGAAAGAGAAAAAATGAGGGAAGGAAGATAACATGGAAACAAAGCTTTTGTAAATAAGAAGGGCAGGAGAGAGGGGAGGGGAATGGGAAAAAATAAGAATTTGGGGTGTACAAGTTCTGGATGATGAATGTGATCGTGATGTATACCTAACTGTACTGATAAGCTGAATTATTAAAAAGAAGAAATAACTTTAAATTTGTTTCTGAGATTTACTCTTATTCAGAAAATGTTGGCAGTGCCGGCATTATTGATGCTCCTTTAATTGGATGAAAAGGGAAAGAATACCTTAGCCAATTCAGTATCCTTATCTAGGATCTCGGGTACTTTGGTTAGCCTTGAGAGGCAGGAAGACATTTGTACAAGAACAAAGACTTTTAAAAGGGGTAGATCATTTCTGAGTTTCTTATCATGTTGAACTTGTAGGTCAAGAAAGAAAGTTTTTCCCTTCATTGAGTCAGTGCATGGATGCTGTGTGTATAATGTAGAAAAGTATGAAAGTCAGAAAATGTCACATCTAATTGGGGGATTTAATTAAAATATACGAACCTTTTAAAGTTCTTCAGTGTGTAAGAATTAATGCTAAATGTTCCCCATAAACTTTTAATGTAGTATGTACTTTAACTCAGGTAAATTCAAGTATAAGACTTATTCTAAGCGTATTTGTTGCTCCCTCTGTCATCTTCTGTGCTCATTTGTAGAGTCACTATTCTCCCTATTGCTTCCTTTTTCTATTTCATGCTCTGGGGAAGTCATCATTAGATTGATTATATAACTTGAGAGTTATTTCTAATATTGCGATTGTTATGGTATCAACATAAGATTAAATTTCTCCAAATGGTTTACAAGAATGGTGTGCCAAATTTAAATATAACTGAACACAAATAATTTAAATATCAAAGGATCAAAAAACCCACAATTGTTTAAAAATTGTCTTTGTTATGTAGAGATAACCTAAAAAATTTCTTCCTCATGCAAATGTTTTCACCATGAAAAAATACTAAATTCTAAGAATGCTACTACAAATAGTGTATGTTTTAACCTGAATACATCTTACTTTTATTTATAAACTCTGAATTTTTATACATTTGAAATATCCAATTGATTTTCAGAAATATTAAGTTTACCTTTTCCAGTAATTAATTGGTCTCCCAGGTAAGAGTCTTTGAAAATCATTCCACATCAAATGAAATCATTTAAAGCAGCCAAGGAGATTGACTGCCTGCAGGCCTACCTCTGTCTCTTCCTAAAAAGGTTTTTACTAAAAATATTTAGATGTAATATTGTTATCCTACGAGATTCCTTGAATATGGTTCCTGTTGAATAAAAGACAGAATTGACAAGTATTTGCTGAAAATTGAATTCAGTAAACTCAGTGTGTTCTTACCACAAATAATGGTGGATCAAGCAACTGTTATAAGCTGCTGGAAAACAAAGCAGAAATGAAAGTGTGTACTTTGGTGTTGGTTGTGTTGAAATTAGAGATGGGTGTGAGACGAATAAAGATGTTAGGAAAAAATAAACAATGTATTGTTTCATTCCAGGTGGCTGCTTCTCTAGTTGTCTTGTGGTTACTTAAAAAGTGAGTATTCTTATTTTACTGCAGATTGAGTTTTATTTTCACTGGTTATTTGGGTCTTGTGCAATATAGCAATATCCCCTGTGTTTTATTTCTCCCCATTAAGACAGTGAAAAAAACAAATTGTAGCTATCCTTCAGTTTTTTAGGGGAATGTGTTCCAGGGTCCCCTGATACCAAAACCTACAAAGGCTTAAATCCCTCACATAAATGGTGTAGTATTTGGATATATCTTATGTGCTTCTCCTTGTGTAATTTAATTATCTCCAAATTACTTATAATACATACTGCATTTGATAAATGTTATGCACATGATTGTTGCAATGACAAGAAATTTTCAGTACAGTTGAAATTTTTGAAATATTTCAATTCACTATTGGTTGAATTCACAGATTTACAACCACAGCTCCAGAGGGCTGACTGTATTTTGCTTAAATTGTAGGTATATGCAGACCCCAAAGTCCTTTGTGTACTTCTAAAGTAATTAATTTTGTTTCACCTCCATGAAATACAATAAAAACACTTGCAACAGATTTATGCATGTAGTATTTTCTCTTAAGTATTTTAATCTACTAAATATTAACTATGTGTACATATATATTTCAGTGAGAAAAATTTTACTGTCTTGCAATAGAAAGAACTTGATACTAAGAGCACACATTGTTAATTCGATACATTGTGTTCCTTTAGGTTCAAATTTATTTCATTTTTTCCCCATGTTTTAGAAATTCTGTAGGTAAGTGTTGCTGCCCAGTAAGGTTTTCCTTCCCTTGTTTTACAGCAATCCTCCTGAGCAGGAAGGGAACAGGACTCAAAGTGGAAACAGTAGCTACGGCGTGATTATAACAAGCACCAGCTTCTATTACATTTTCTACATTTACGTGGGCGTGGCCGACACTTTGCTCGCCCTGGGACTGTTCAGAGGCTTGCCGCTCGTGCATACGCTAATCACAGTGTCGAAAATTTTACACCATAAGATGCTGCGCTCTGTTCTTCAGGCGCCCATGTCAACTCTCAACACTTTGAAAGCAGGTACTTGACTACGTGTACAGCATGAAACTGCTGATCCAAAATCAGTGGGGCTTGCAGTTCTGTTGGTTTTCTGTAGCAACACTGGCTTTTCCAGCCCCGTAGTACGCCGTCTTGCGACTGACAGGTGTATTTCTCAGACATCCCAGGCCATCCGAGAGTGTGGGTGCTGCTGCTTTGGGACCCAGTGATTACAGTAGCCTTGCTCATTAGGATGGGCTGCTGATGGCCCGCAGCCGCAGAGGCAATCTCTCTTGCATCACTTGTCCTCTTTTCGGATATTTGTCTCAGCTTCCAGGCATCTTGTAGCCAAATATAGTATTGTTCAAAGAAGGCTATGATTTAAAATGACCAAGGAAAATGTAAAAGTCTTCTACTAATAAAGTCTTTTCAAAGAGCAAAATAACCTAGTTTTACATAACTGTTTAAGGGAAACCATATAAATTTTATTTTTCATTTTTTTCTTTTCTTGAGGTTAGGGGAGATCCCAAATTTATTTTAAAACTGTTTGTCATAGGTAAAAAAGACAGAAATTCAGAGTAATGGAATGAAGAGACCAAAACTTTGGGTAATAAGGTACTGTGAAAGTGATCAGTTTCATTGGTTTCCCCTTAGGTGAATTCACATCGAGAGATTCTGAGGGTAGTAAGTTGCCCTTCTAAGTTTCATCCCTACAACAAGCCACTGAGCTTTTACTCTAAGCCAGGGTGCAGGTTGGGGACCACGGGGGCGGGTGGTACATGCAGATCATTAAGGCACGGTCTTTACCCCAGAGGGGCTCACAGATGAAAGGATGAGCTGCAAACCCAGGCATTTGTACCGCAAGAAATAAATTGCAAGATTGAGACTTGTAGCAAAATTCATATGTAAAACTCTCAGGGAATATCCATCATTTTTACTGTATAACAAAATTTCAGAGTCAGTATACAGGAAGGCCCTTGCACTTATCTTGAAGCCCAGGGTGTCACTAACGGTTTGCCTCTTCTGATGTATCCATTGCCATTCCCCATTTTGGGGGCAAGAATTTTAGACCTAAGTGGTTGACCAATACACTTACTCTAATAAAGTCATTTTTAATGAAAATCTGAGACCCAGAGAAGCTTGGGGATTTGCCCTAGTTTCTGGCTAAGGCAGAAATGAGTTTTGAGATACAGTTGCAGAGCAGTAGCATAGTTTGAGCCCTAGTTTGACCTTGAAAGAGTTGTGATTCCAGGCAAGTTACTTTTCTGAGCGTTGGCCTGCTCACCTCTAAGGTGAGTGAAGAAATAATTATCTTAAGGGGTCTGTGGGAAAGAAACAAAGCAATCTATTTGCCTGCCACATGGCCCACCTGAAATAAGTAAAGTAAGTGTTCCCTTCTCCTCATTTTTTGGGTCTAGCAGGCACTGTTCCTCTGTGGTACACTTTCTATTCTACCTCTTTATTTTTCCAAGTTCCTCATTCATTCAGATACCACACATAATGGGTTCTGAGCCTTCTTTGTATCTTGTTCCTACTTTCCAGACCTTTTTTTTTGTATTTTTTGTGTTTTAGGGAAGGGCTTACAGGGTGTTCAGGGTCTCACTACTAGATCAAACTCAGTGATCCTCCTGTTTACAGCCTCCCAAGTGCTGGGATTACAGGCACGACACCACGTCCAGTCTCAGTTGCCCTCTCAGCGGGCCCTGGGGGCAGGGCCAGCACCGCAGACCTGGGGATTGAACCCCCAGCCCCTGCGCCTGCTTGCAGGTGCTTTAATCCACTGAGCTATTTGGCTGGCCCTCCAGACTTTGCTTTGTGAGATGATTCTTAAACACCTCTGCGTTGTTTGTGTTCCTTCTTAGTTTTGGTCCTGAGCACTGCAATAGCCACTTGATTAGAATGGCTGTTATCCTGCTCCTGCCTTTCTTCTGCCCTCCAATTTTTGTGTACATGGGTTATGCTTTCTTTTAATAACTGTCACCTAGTTATTCTCTGCTATATTTGACAATAACAAGATCAATGTATGCTTACAGTTTCTCCCAGATGTGCCTTTCTGCAATTGTAGATTGACCTTGATTTTCTGAGACTGTTGCCTGATTTTCCTGTCAGTTTTAAATGGCCTTAAGCTTATACAGACACATAGTAAGTGCTTAGAAAAGTGTATTGAATCGATGAAAAGTGTAAATGTGTATTTTGACAGACTACCACGGTAGGAAATACACACAACTGTATGATTTTTTTTTTCACCAAAGCCAACTTTTAGTTTGTAAACAGTAATTATAAACTATGGGATGGGTTTTTAAAAAAAAAACTTTTGGCTTATTTATGGAAATATATACAAATATATTTAATGAAAGATGCTAAAGAATAAATAATATCTAGGGCCAGTGAGAGAGCTGAGTGGACTAAGTGCCTGCTTAGGTAAGCACAGGGACCGGGTTTGATCCCTGGCACCACATGCCGTGCTGGCCCCACCCCCAGGCATGCTGAACCAGCTACTGAGACCGACGAGGCATGGTGAAGCATGCCTGTAATCCCAGTGCTGGGACGTTGAGTACCAAATACATTTAAGAGAAAAGAATAAATAATATCTACATATAAATCTTTTTGCTACGGTCCCTTCTGCTATAGGTGACTTCTTACAATTTACAGTCTAGGAAAAGAGGTAAGACCATTGCATGTGCAAGCAACTATACAACACACATTGTAACCCCAAGGCACAGACAAGAAAGAAAAGATCAATTCCAGCTGCACCAAGCACTGATTTGTCTTGCAGGAGGATCATTAGAGTTGGGCCTGGGAAGACCAATTTGGATAAGTAGAGATGATGGGCAAAGGTTTTCAGGAAGACAACAATGTGGGGAAAGTAGGTGGTAAGAAAGTGTGGAGTATGTTTAAAGGACAGACCAATTTGCTGAACTAGATATATTAGCAGAGGAAGCTTGTGCTAGACAGATAAGGCCATATTGTAGAAAATATTAAATATTAAACTAAGGGTTTTGGACTTTATCCTACGGTTAATAATGGATGAATGATAAAGTTCAATATGATTTTGTTTGCACAGTATTATATTTTATCTAATTGTTTGTCTAAGTCCTCTCCAGATGATGAATTCTTGAAGGGCAAGGAGCATGATTTATTCACCTCTATTATCTTAATGCCTGGTGTTGTGCCTGCCACATAGTAGACAATCCATATAGTATTATTTTTATTACAGCAATTATTGAGCTTACAAATGTGAGACTAGGACTTAGAAGACAGGCTGAAGCTTAGACTACCAGTGAAGAGGGCAGAAGGAAAATATAGCAGAGAAGTCCACATGCTAGCACATGCAAGGAGAGAGAGCTGCCTGGGACTCTGAATGGGAGACCCAGAGAAGCCTGAAGGTCCCAGGAGAGGGAGAGCTCTGTGTGATGGGATAGAGACAAGACAGCAAGGATGGCAACAGACACAGTGAATTATCTCAAAGGCAAAAAGCGAGTTTGTAGTATTAGGACAGATACCCATTCTTGAGGTAATTTATAATGAGGGCTCTATTAAAGATGCTGTGTTCATTTGTTTTTTACCTAAATCATAAAGTAATCTGTTTTATAAATGCTTAAAAGTTGGTGACTGTAACTTATGCACATAGTAACTTAGAATCTTGGGCTAAACCAAAATTTGCTAAGTTTGGATTTATCTAATTACATGCTAATTGTTATTGGGATTCTGATTGCTTCTGCTGTAATCCAAATGTAATATTAAATACATGGGTATATCTTCTTTAAATTACTCAATTTTTAAGAAATTTATCTTCCTTGTATTGTAGGTGGGATTCTTAATAGATTCTCCAAAGATATAGCCATTCTAGATGATATCCTTCCTCTTACCATATTTGACTTCATCCAGGTTTGTAAAAATTAACTATTATTAACTATCATTGTATTCCTATATTTTTTGTATTTACAAAGAGAAGTTAATAAGGTTTTGCTCGATTTTCATTTGACACTTGGCATCTATCATATAAATTTTGTGAATACCAATTCTTCAAAATAAACATAACATTAGTAAATTAAGCAAAATTGTTTATCTCTCCCTAACCCAAGGCAATCCCATATCTGGATGTAACAACTTTTCTCTGGAGTGATCTGAAAGGCAAAAAAAAGACTCTTGCCCTAAATTATTTGCCACAGAATGGGACATTTTTTACATAGATACAACTGTAGTTTGGAAGTCCATGTACTGTACGTAAGAAGAAGCCCACACTGTAATGAAGATGGGTTCCCTGGTTGGGTCGCACTCAGAACCAGAGTTACTCACAAGCACTTTGGCACAGATTGGCTCACTGTTCCCATACGGCAAGGACCACAATTAAGAGGCAGATATGAACTAAAATTGAACAGATAAAAGGAAAAAGAGAGATTCAGGTCATGTGAAGGCTGTCCCTGAGTGACAGGTATGAATAGGCCTACAGGGCAGCCCAGCAGTGAGGCTGAGTCTCTGGGTGAGCAGAGGCAGGGAGGGGGTTGAGATGACCATGACCTTGGTAACCACATTAACACACCACAATGACAGAACTCAAGAGGGCTGCTGTTGATATTCTGGGCTGTTGGGTTTGAGCACAGCTCTCTGAGCTTCCTGTCCAATTTAGTTGAAGCTTCAGAGAACAAGTACCACCACCTTAATGACCTCTTTGGAGAAGCAGCTGAAAAGGAGTGAGTGATGAGTCATTCTCCTCTCTTGCTCCTCTCCTGCCCTACAACATGAGACATGAAGACAACTTTAAAGAAAAAAGAAAAAAAAACAGAACCATCATGCATGTATGTACACAAAAAGCATTGGAAGATGGAGAAAAACCAGCCTGTCAGTTTGTGCCACTGGAAATGATTGACACAATCAAATGAATATACCATTCCAAGAGGACTTCGCAACTTCCTACAGTCAGTGTCTTTAGAGATCTAAGTCAGCAGTACCTGCTGGGATTTTTTATCTATATTTTTAGTTCACACATTCAAAGGAACATTTTTTGTGTATTTCTTTAAATGCTGGACATTTGTTCCACATTCTAGGGGTATAAATGACTGGTCCCAAGATTAGCATTATTAAATCAAGTACAAGCTGCAACATGGACTTTGACCTAATTGCGAAGACATTGGCCAATGGTGCCTCCTTAGTAATTATTTCCTTACTTTGATAGTGTACTGAGTATCTTCTAAGTCAGTTTGAGGCTTTCCGTAAAAATCCTCTGGGAGAGTTAATTCTTAAATATTTATTTTGTACATTAACATTTTTATATATATGACAGCTCTCAGATTCTTTCTTTTATGCCAGTTTGAATAGTTTCTGCTCAAATCCTAATACTTCTGAAGTTCGTTTGGTTTTGCTTCACATGTGACTAGGCAGAACAGTTTATTTAATTTCCCTATTTTATCTCTAACAGAAGAGGTCCTCAAATTAAGAAGTATATTATATGGCGATCCCAATATAGCAAAAAGTGACCCATTGTGACCTTGCTAAATAATTCATCCCAAAAGGTTGTTGAAAGGACGAGCTTCTCTGGTTCTTCTTACTTATGTCCAGACAAGTAAACACTCACTCTGATCGCAGCATTTCAGGATAGATCTATTGCACAAAATGAGGCACAGCTATTGCGTCAGTCAGTTTTCCTGTTGCTGGAACAAATGCATCAGATCCGCAGATTAGAAGAGGAAGTAATTACTTGGGGTTATAGTTTCAGGGCGTGCAGTCCAAGTTTGGCTGGCGCCAAGGCAGAGATGGCGGCATAGGACAGCCTCGTCAGGGGAACTGCTCAGCCGTGGCCGCCGGGAAGCAGAGAGAAGGGAGGAAGCAGTGCTGAAAATGCTTCTAGGCCTCAGCCCCAGTGGCGCGCCCTCTGTGGAGGCCCCACAGCTGAACACGTGAGACTTCTTAATAGATTTAAACCATGGAGTCTAAGATTTCCATCTTAAAACCCTTAATTTCTCTTCAGTCTGTTTCCTGTTGATGATATCCTGACAAATTTGCTTTACAGATTGGAGCTCTGTAAATGAAAGTAGGAGACCCAAAGACGCCATTGTTTTTGCTTGAGCTACCTTTTTCCTATTCTATAGGTTCATTACCTATAGAATAGGAAAATAAAGCTGATAGTGGTCCCTTCCAGGTGTGAAGTTATGCTTCAGTGTGGCATGCCATAATTGCCCACCACAATTTTGATCTTAAAGGCAAACAGTGAAAACATCTCCTAGCGTTATACCTATCTCTGTGTCTGAGTGAACTATTTATTCCACGAAGCAGAAACATATGTATTGTAAAACCAAAATCTTCTAGTTTCAGCCTGCAAGCTTTAAGGACTCCTTTCTAAAATTTTAATATATGTTTGCACACTGACCTAATTGCACTGGTGTTATTGACCTGCTACTTTGGTCTCTGCAATGTGTCTTTTATATCTTTTTACTACTCCTTTATTCACCCTTATTAATCCTACTTATCTCTTGGTTAGACATTTTCAAGGACTCTGAAATGCCAAGTGGGGTGGTCATTGCACGGTTTTTTTAGACATTCACTTTTTTTCTTCTGTTTCACCAATTCCAAAGTGACCTTCCTTTGTTGTCCTCTGTCTGTTTCTCTACGCTTCAGTGTCAAGAACACTGGAGATGCATTAGTGGGAGGAAATATGCCACCTCACAGATGTAGCACTTTTTAGGTTTCATATTTTCATATTTTAGGAGAAGTTTAGAGTTTGAGTAATTAGGATGGAAACTGGAAATATGTGCTCACTGTTGTGAGAGTACAGGCCAGGGGTATGAGCATCAGAATGCAGAAAAGTGTGCTCACACTTGGTCTTGACGCGAAAGCCCTCTACTTATTTACTTATTTATGTCTTTAGGCTTTTATTTAAGTCTTCCTCAGTAATACACCTGGCCAAGAATGACTCCTGTGTAATCAATTATGGACTAAAAACTAGGGTATAATTTAAGATTTCTTTGTATATAGGAGTATCAAATGTATTAAACTAGTGCTTTTAATTTTACAAATAGGGCTAAATTATTAGGGCCTGGCCCCCATAGCTAATAAGGGCCTCGTGTAGAAGTAAAACAGTGTCTTTTCTCTCAGTATGGTGAACCTTTTAGAGCTTTCAATGATAGCAAGCAGGCGGCTGCAGCACTTGTACCATAGGTGCGCTACCACCGTGGTGGCTGTAGTTGCTGGAAGTCTGATTGTGGTATTTGGTGAATGTATTATCACTTCCATGTACCCCCCTTCTCGTTCTTTTATAACCCAATATGACACCTTGGCCAGCTAACTATCCAAGCCCACTTGTGTTGGTCAACTTTTTGATACCACAGCAATATCAGAGAAATTAACTGATAGAGAGAGGTTTATTTGGGCCACAGTTTTAGAGATTGTAGTGCGATGATCACCTGGGCCCTTGGCGAGGTGGCACGTCAGGTGGGAGTGTACTAGAGGTCAAAACCTCTCATCTCATGGCCAGCAGCTAAACAGAGGGGAACAGGAAAGGGCTAGCATCCCACCATCCCCTTCCAGGACATTCTAGCATGACCCGAAGGCCTCCCACGAGTCCTCATCTTGGATATTCCACCATATCCTAACAGAATCACTGAATCTTTAACCAATGGGCCTTTACATTCATTTGAGGTCGACACGATTGTACTACCTATTGTTTCTTAACATAGGTACACTTTCATTCCTAGCCATCTCTACCATATCCTCACTCACTAAAAAGGAACTGATACTTTCAATGGAAAGCAAGTCAAAGAACAGCTTATTTCCTTTACCCACAAAGTCATTTCCCCAGCCAATATTTAATGAAAATGTCACCAATTTGGCAATACATAGTAAAGATAGCATACGTCAAAATTAATGCGGTACAGTTTACAACGACCAACATCAAACAAAAGATCCTAACTCTAATGGACCAATTAAATGGTTCTAATATACTAAAGTAATAACAGTTGTCTTTCAGATGTTTACTATAATGATTCTTTTTTTTTCTTTTTCTTTTCATTTTTTTGAGACAGAGACTTACTATGTAGCTCAGGCTTGCCTCCAACCCAGGGAGACCCTCCTGCCTCAACCTCCTGAGTGCTGGGATTACAAGTGTGCACCACCGTGTCTGGCTGGCCCATTTAAATTAAATTATATTCCTAAAATGAAACATGTTTAGAAGATAGTTTTTTCCCCAAAGTTCCTATTTATAAGACTTAGGAAAAACCTTTAGTTTGCTATTGATAAAGTATCTTGTTAAGTAGTAATTTAATGCTCATTTTTTCTTGTAGTTCTGGTAGGACCAGAATAGAATGTAGAAGCCTTCGCTTTTAGGTTACTGAGTCATGCTGTACCTATTCCAATACCTGACACAGTAAAGATTTACCCATCTATGTGTTGAATGAGTAAGGAACTGGTATTCCACCATTTGGTGATGGGAGTTGTAGGAACATTTTATCTTGGAAAAGTATCCTTGCTATATGTTACTTTGAAATTTTAGGTAGAAATAGCAAGCAATTTAAAGATTTGTGCAGATTGGAGCTACACCCTGTCATTGCCCCAATTACCAAAATGTCAGGTATTTTATTGCATCAGCTGTATATCTTCTCTGATCCCACTGAGTACCTCTTTGATCTTTCTTCTAATCTCCTCTGTTACACCTTTGAGTAATTTGGGTGGGTGGTTTAAGCTAGTTTGCTCTTTGGTGCACCCCTTATTGACTATGTTGGAGCTGGGAATTTAGGAAAGAATTTTGTTTTCTCTTCTGTGTTTCCTTTTGTTTTATGCTGAGTTTTGTAGATACATGTAAAGAATTTGTTCCTAGTATGGAAATCACTTTAGTTGCTTTTCGATGATGAACTTTGAGCAGGACTAACTATAATCCTTTGCAAAGCACCAACATCTGATTACCTTGGTTAATTTGGGAGGGGAGAATGCAGGTTAGTTAGCCCAACATGCAAGTGCTCTGGGAATGTACTCTAGTATTGTTAATGTCACAAAGATAATGTGAGTGCTGGCTTACAGAGAAGCAGTGACAGTTCTGTGACGCTGTTACACCTACTGTCCAGTACAAATTGGATGTAAACATACAATAAGAACCAGTTATGTCCCACCCTTACTCTTAGTGAAGAAATCTGCAATTATGGTGTAAACACTAAGATGACGCAGGTATTGAGTTACAGCTAATATGTACTGCAGGCAACAACCATATCTCAGCTAATGATAGAAAAGAATTCCCCAGTAATTTAACAGTTACCTATGAAAAGATTAGCAACCTTCGTGGTTATACCATTAAAGATATGGTGTTTGGAAATAAGGAAATGCGAGGGGAGAACTTTGAAGCTATAAATTCTATGATATGAAAAAGAGAAAGAAGTGATACAAAGTATCTGATTGGGTAATATAAAGGGGTTATAGAATTGTGTGAAGTTAAGAGAAAGAAAAAATGATGAGAAATAAAATATAAAAAAGGAAGGGAAAGAAAAATTTTATAAAGAAAAAAATCAAAGGGGAAAAATTACAGAAGAGAAAATTTAAAAAGAAATAAGGAAGGCATGACGGAGTAAAGAAAATGTGTGAAGCCCTAGTAAACTGGTGAAGAAGAAAGAGGAAATACTGGCCGAGAAAAGGGAAAAACAAAACGCGGCTGCTGCAGCTCGCAGCATTTGCTGGTGCACCCTACCAGCTTTTCCCTGAAGTCCTGTGGCGGCCCCCACTTGCATACTGTCTCTGTAGACTGCCCTTCTTACAAGCCATGAGCCAGCAGCCGAGTGAGAGTAGACTGTTTCTTCCCTTTGTGTGCTGTGGCCTGCCTATGGCCTGCCTCCCAGGTCTCTGTGCATTTTTACTTCCTGGCACATCCTTCCTGGTTTCCAGGGATCTACCTTTTCTTACCCCTCCCCAGGTTGTTAGTGTCCAGGTTCTGGAAGCTGGATCTCAAAGAGACTGAGTTGTTGTTGTGCTCCACACCACCATTCCCCCCCACTTTTTTTTTTTATTTTCTGAGACATAATCTCACTCTATTGTTCAGGCTGGCCTTAAAATTGTTCTGTGCTCCCATCCCCCATTTTAATATCTAACGTTTTTGACCTAGGTTTTCTCTTCCTTTTGTTTAGTTTGGCTAAATATTTGTCAATCTTGTTCATCTTTTGAAAGAACCAATTTTTGTGTTAATCATCCATGTGTGGATCCTGTGTATCATTCTACTCCATGTCATTAATTTAAACTCTGATCTATTTCTTCGCTTCTGTTAGGCTTGTTCTGGTTTTGCTAAGACCTTGAGACATATGATTAGCTCATTTATTTGGGATTATTTTGATATTTTGATGTAGGCGCTTATAGCTATAAACCTCCTTCCTCGAACTGATTATGCTTTATCCCAGAGCTTCTGATACATTGTGTTTCCATTGTCATTTGATTCTAAGAATCTCTAAATTTCTCTCCTGATTTCTGCAATGACCCACTGATCACTCAAAAGTGAATTGTCCAATCTCCATTGTTGGTATGATTTCTGTGGTTTCACATCTTGTATTTGTTAAGATTTGCTTGATGGCCTAAAACCTGATCTGTTTTGGAGAACTTTTCATGATCTTCTGAGAAGAATATGCATAGTCTGCAGTTGTCGCAGGTAATGTTCTATAGACATCTGTCAAATTCTAGAGCTTCACTGATGTTTCTTTGTTGGTTTCTGTGTGGATGACCTATCTGTTGGTGAGAGTAGGATTACTGAAGTCACCTGCTATTACTAAATTGGGACCTGTGTTTCACTTTATATTGAATAGTGTTTGTTTCATAACACTGAGTACCCCAATATTAGGTGCATATATATTTAAAATATATTTTCTTGGTGAATCGTTTCCCTTTACCATTATAATTTGCTTTATAAAATTGAGTGCACTAATATTAGTTGCATATATGTTTAAAATCTTCTGGGTGGATTGTTCTCTTTATGAGTACATAAAGGCTTTCTTTGTCTCCTCTAATTTTATTTCGAAGTCTGACACTCAGTAATTGTAGTAGGGTGACTCCAGAGACCCCTGTGGCATGACTGTTTTGTGACTTCTGATTCCCAAGAATGACTCAGTCTTCAACAAAACCCCTGCTTTGAATGGCTTCTGATTATCCTACTACCAAATACGGTGGAGGCTGCGGTGGATTTCCTGTATGCAGGTTGCCATACAAAAGGAATCACTTTCAGAATAAAATCTATATTGTACTTATGGGTTGTAAGAGGTGTGGGTTTCTCCTGGCACTGGTGCTACCCATCTGTTGTTTATTGTAGGGGTTGTCAGTCCTCTCTGGGTTTGCCTTGTGTATTCAAAGGCAGGTTTTCCTGTGAGGAGCCAAAGTGGGCATTAACATTCCAGACTGCTTTGTTTTCTTCTCTGCATTGTCTTCTGCTTTCCCATGATTTTTAGCTTTGTTGTCATTCTTTCTTGATTCTCAGAGCCCTTTGTCTTTTTCTCCTTGTTCAACATTTGTTTTCGATGTACCTTAATTCTAGATCCTGAAGAAGCTGGGCTTTGCTACTGATTTCTGCTCCCTCTGTCATAATTAATCTTCCTAAACCTATATTTAAATCAAAGATTTCTGAAAAGACTCCAGTGTAAATGTCAAAAATTGTCTCAACCAAACAAATCCTAAAATTTACACTCATACTGAAATTATTTCAAAATAGCTTTAAAAGAATGTCAGGCTGACAATTTTATATTGATTTAAAATTTATCATGTGTCACTTCAAGTTGTTTGGGAAATGAAAATACCCTGAATTCAAGGAGCGTCGTGTCTTCAAAACTTCAAGTTTGTTGTTGTCAATAACCTAAACAATTTTTTGAATTTTATTATTTTATTTGTTTATTTATTTATTGATGGTATCAGGGATTGAGCTCAGGACCTTGCACTTACCAGGCAAGCACTTATTCCACTGAGCAATCTCCCTGGCCCCAATTTTTTGAATTTAAATGCAATCTGGAAAAAAACGTATTTTGAAGTAGCTGCCTTCCCAGTAGAAGGACACCTTCCTGTCTGTAACTGAGAATGAGTGAGAGTGGGTGGGTGAGCTGGTGTAGAAATAAATCACTGACATCTTGTCTGCTTTATGGGTGGAAACATTTGCTCACTGATGTGCTTTCTTGGACCCCACAGCTGCTGTTAATTGTGATCGGAGCCGTAGCTGTTGTCTCAGTTTTACAGCCTTACATCTTCCTGGCAACTGTACCAGTGATAGCGGCCTTTATTATGTTGAGAGCGTACTTCCTCCGCACTTCACAGCAACTCAAACAACTGGAGTCTGAAGGTATGGTGCTGAATGCTCTGTGCTCATCTTGGAAAGAGCCACGTGCACTTTGGCAGATTCTTCTTCATTTACTTTTCAAAATTTTTTTCTTTTGCATATATAATTAAAATTATTATATGCAATAATGCATATATAATCCATATATGCAATAATTAAAATTATTTACCATATATAGTAATAGTATGTATATGTATTTAAAAGGAAACTGTACCATAAAGCACAAATAGATTGTATCTGCTCATTGTACTAGTACATTTGCAGTATATAATCATTGCATTCATCCTGGAGAGATGGTGCCTATTTAGAACACAGCTTATTTTTTTTAAATCCCTTTCCCCTTCCTCTCTCCCTCTTTCCTCCGTCTCTTGATTTTCTTCCCTTTTGCAAAAAAAAATCTATCTCCTTGTTTCCTATTATCTTTTATTTTGCCCTACAATCTGTTTTATATTTTGTGTTTCTTATATGAGAGAAATCATGTGATCTTTAAGCTTGTTTGATTTATTCATTCTGATTTATTTCATTTAACTTTATGGTCTCAAGCGCATCCATTTTCCTACAATTGGTTGGTTTTTTAAATTAATGATATTGTGACTTTATTTTGATTTTGAAACAAGTGCATAGAATCTTACTAGGACTGGTGAAAATGGCATGCATTTATAATTATATCAATTAAATTAAAAAGTGATGGGATATCATAAATAATTGATACATTATCCTCTTGAGCTTATTGCCTTTCAGATCCAAATTTGCCTTCAAAATCTATTTGAACCCTTTGAGAAACATAATTCCATTAGCCTTGTTGAGGGTGCATTTTCTTTTTTTAAATTTTAAAATTTTTATTGGTACATGCTTGTAGTACATAATAATTATGTTCCTCATGGGGAGTTGGTACACATACATAACATATCTTTTGAAAAAAATATGTAGTTCCTTTTTTTAGGTATTTAGTACAGGGTCTACAGGGTCTCACTACACAGATCTGACTCATACTATCTTCCCGTTTTCAGCCTCCCAAGTGCTGGGATTACAGGCGCATGCCACCAGGCCCAGTCTCAGTTGTGTCTCAGTGCGCCCAGGGCAGGGCCCACAAGGCAGGCCAGGGACTGAACCCCCAGTCCCTGCCTGTGCCTAAGCAGACTCTTTAATCCTCTGAGCTATCTGGCCAGCCCTCCTAATATATCTTAATTCTATTTTTATTCCCTCTCTCTCCTTTCGTCTCTTGATCCCTTCCCTTTTGCAAAAGACCTATCTCCCTGTTTCCTGTTATCTTTCATTTTGCTCTTTATTTAGACTTTGAGTTTCTCAGAAAAGAGAAACTAGGCAATGTTTAAACTTGTGTGTCTGATTTATTTCACATAACAGTATGGTCTCTAGGTATATCCATTTTCCTACAAATGACTCAAGTTTATCTTCTTTTTTCAGAGTAGAACTCTATTGTGTGTAAACATCATGTCTTTACTTCATTCATCTGTTGGTGACATTTAGACTGTGTCCTAGCTGCTCTATACATGGGTACTCATGGATCTCTGTGATATAAAGTGTTCACTTCCTTTTTATTTTTGGTATTGGGAATTGAACTCAGGACCTTGTGCTTGCTAGGTAGGCACTCATGCTGCCGGGCTAGGTCCCCGGCCTGATGTGTTCACTTTCAAGGAAAAACATGAAAAATTTGTAAGAGAAAAAAATTGTTTCTCACCAATAAAAAATTTAGAGTTAGCCAAAAAGAAAATGCCCAATGCTAAGTAAGAAGTATAAATAAACAAGGGTAATAATTTCATAATAAGTTTCCATCCATGGTAGCATGTACAAAGGAAAGGTAATGCATTAAAAAACTCACAGATCCTATCTACTCAAATTATGGCACCAGAATGACCTTTCCAACCAGTGACATTCATTTTATGATCCAGGTAAGTTAGTCTTTTTCAGGATCATAGCAATATGAAATTGCATTCTATGTTTACCTGATTTGCATGATGTTCTATGGAAATATTTCACAGGCAGGAGTCCAATTTTCACTCATCTAGTCACAAGCTTAAAAGGACTATGGACACTCCGAGCCTTTGGGCGGCAACCTTACTTTGAAACTCTGTTCCACAAAGCTCTGAATTTGCATACTGCCAACTGGTTCTTATATCTATCAACACTGCGCTGGTTCCAGATGAGAATAGAAATGATTTTTGTCATCTTCTTCATTGCTGTTACCTTCATTTCCATTTTAACAACAGGTACTACATAATCATTAACAACTTATCTAAGCTTGTAGCTCTAACGTTATCTTTAAGCAGTTTTTTTTGTTGGTCTTATTGTGAAACAAATGATTTCTTTGAACTTATGTGGTTTTGTGCTGAGCAACTAATTTTCCTGTTTTTAGTGTATTAAAAAAAAACTGAGACAATGTGTCTCTTAGTAAATCTATGAGTGAATGAGAAAAATCATTCATGCTCATATCAGTATAAGATCTTGATTCAAAATTTACTTTATTTTAATTTGCATCTCTTGAATGACCAATGATGTTGAACATTTTTATATATTTATCTACCATTTGTATTTCTTCATTTGAGAAGTGTCTGTTCATCTCAGATGCCCACTTTTGATTGAATCTTTGAATTTTTGGAGTCAGATTTTTAAGAAATTCCTTATGTTCTAGATAGAAGTCTTTTATCTGAGGGGCAGTCAGCTAAAATTTTTTTCAAAAAAATTTTTAAAACTTACTTTGTTAAGAACTCTCTGAAAAGCAGAAAAGAATATTCACCTGTAAACACACACACACACACACACACACACACACACCCCTCCTCTTTCCTTTTGTTCTGTTCCTCTACCCATTAGCTAGTGAAATTATTTATATAATACAAATTTTGCATGAAGAAGAACTGCCACAGTAGGGAAACTGAGGTGATAGTGTCATCAACCGGGCATGGTGGTCTGTGCTGGTAGTTCAGCACTCTAGAAAGCTGAGGCAGAAAGACCACAAGAACAACCTGTGCTGCAGAGTTAGTTCAAGGCTGGCCTGGATCAGAAGGAAACTGTGGGAAAAAAAAGCCGTGTTTTGCAAATACAAGGTTCTTAATTTGAGACTCTTTGGATAAAAAAAAAATTATAGTAAGTCAAATAAAAATGTATATAGATAAAAACGAGTTGTGTCAAAATTTTGAGCTAAGAAGTGCTAGACAAACATTCAGAGGAACTGCCAAATCTGCAGGACTGTTTGGTTATAAAAGCCCCCGCGAGAGGTATCAGCTGGACGTTCTGGGTGATCTGAATCCGGGGCAGGCAGCGCCTCTGGGCCCTTCGAGGGACCAAACGGCCTCAGAGCGCCACCACGGCCATCTTTCCCAGCTCTTGAGCACCGCCGCTGACATGCCCTGCCTTTCCCATGACTGCTTCATTTGTTTGTCTCTGAGATAGGTTTATTTAGCTGGGCATGGTGGCAGAAGCCTGTAATCACTAGTGAGCTGGGCAGAAGGACTGAAAGTTTGAGTTCAGCCTGGGAAACCCAGTGAGAGTCTGCCTGAAAATAAAAAATGTAAAAGGCAGGGGTTGTATCTCACTGGGAAGGCCCTGGGTTTGATCCTCAGTACCGCAAGAAGCGTACTAACGAAAGCAGTTTTCTTGGGCATACCCGGGACATGCACTCCAGGCGGCTTCTCAGTTCTGGCTCCTTAAATTAGTAGCACACTTACGCTGTCCTATCACAAGGCCCCAAAGGAAAAGGAAACAGGCTTCTCTCATCGGAGGAGTCTTCGTGCCACGCACCGCGCAGCTGCTGTGAGGGAGAGAAGCCGCACGTTCTCTGTGTGCTTAGTCAGAACAGCTACAGCGATGCAGAAAGGTGCGGACATGGTCGGGCAGGTCCGTGGACCTTCTGCAGCTGAGTCATTTCTGCCAACTTTTTTTTTAAACCAAAGATTTTTTTGGAGTCAGAATATTTAAATCTTTCATTTATTTGAAAGAAGATAAAAATTGTCAAATTTAAAAAATGAAGATTTCTTAACAATTAACTCAAACCAATACGTTATACGCTATCACACAGTGGTTAAGAGTGTGGTTGAATCCTGGCTTACTGGGGCAGTTGCCAAAGCGCTGCGCAGCCTGAGCACGGAGCCTGCCTGTGGCACTGGAGCTCCGTCCGGAGCTGATGTGGGCCTCCAGCCCAATCCACCCTGACTCCACTGGCCCTCGGATTTTTTTTTTTTTTTTTTAATGCGTTTGGTACAGGATCGCACTATACAGCTCGGACTCCCTGTGATCCTCCTGTTTCAGCCTCCCCAGCAGTGGTAGTACAGGCGTGCACCACCACACCCAGTCTACCTGGTCCACTCACGATGCCCAGGGACGGGGCCAGAGCGGTGTGCGTTGCTGTGGATTGAACCCCAGCCTCTGCGCTTGCCTAAGCAGGTGTTTGGTCTGCTGAGCTGCGTCACTGGCCACCTCCAGTTTATTATCTTGCAAAAATGAACTTCTCCAAACCTCCCGTTTTCCTCATGTTTAAAGAGAAACAGTAATAAAATATATCTCGTATGTCTGTGGTGAATAGCAAATGTGATAATTTGTATGAAACACTTGGGTGTAGTGCCTAATCCACAGTAAATAACCAACACCTTATACCTAAATGTTATTATTAAATTTTACCTTATTTTCACACTCACCCTCAGAATGAATGATGTACTAGCATCTTGAATGTATCTTAACTGTTGAAATAAGTTATTTAGGACTAAGAAAGCAGATATGTACTGCCTATGACACATCTTCTTTTAGAAAAACTGTAAAAAAATACTGAAATTATTAAAATGAATTGTTTCTCCCAATTGTTGAATCATAGGAGAGTTTTATCATGCAATATAAATGCAAGTAATATCAACTGGGAATTGATAGTCTAAATTTATAATAATTTAAAAACATTCCTCTTACAAAATCTTTATAAGACTGAATAATTAAGAATTTTAATTAGTTGCCTCTTATAACCCCCAAACCCCTCCTATAACCCATTTATTCTAATTATTAAAGGACTGTTTTTCCCTGGGGAGCTAGTCCTTTGTCCTCCTTCCTTCCCTTTCTTGTGGAATGGAATGGAATGGCAGAGCCATTAGCACTGAAGTGCCCATGCCATTTTCTTCCCATTAGCCTCTGAGTAGCAGAAAAGCTTGTCTTCACCGAGGTGCAGAGCACATCTAAACATCTGAAGGTGTTCCTCAAAAGCATCCTTGCCAGGGTTTTGACTTTTTACCAAGGAGCTCATCTTGATACAGGATTTTACAACAAACATGCTTCAACCCAACAGGGACAACTCCTTGAATACCTAAAATATGTATATTTTAGGTACTTATGCTGTTGAGCTGTCTCCCTGGCTCCTAAAATATATTTTTATTTTTTTTTTATTTTTCATTTTTGGTTACCAGGAATTGAACTCAGGGCCTTCTGTTTGCCAGGCAGGCGCTTGTGCCGCTGAGCTACATCCCAGGCTCAGTGGCACCAAACATGTTTTTAAAAAGATAACTCTTTCTTAATATTCAGTGACTCTCTGATTTGAAATACTGGTTGCTTGCTTGCTAGCATTATTGATCCTGTGATGAACTGAGATAGAAAACAGATGGATTCAATGCGAAATTGAACTGTAAGTTTAATGTAATAGCCTCATAGAGGAAGTAATAAAGTAGTTCACAGAAGTAACATGAGCTTTGTCCCTGTGTTCTTTCCACGTATAGGTGAAGGGGAAGGCTCAGTGGGCATTATTCTCACTCTAGCGATGAACATCATGAGTACGTTGCAGTGGGCGGTGAACTCCAGCATTGATGTGGATAGCTTGGTAAGGCAGCATTACTCTTTAATATACGAAAAACTGTAGCTAAGCCAGAAAATACAGGAACAATGTAAGGAGTAACTACATAGCCAATACTAGCGTAAGAAGTGAAATGTTACAAATAAATCAAAGATCTCTGCATCTATCTCATCAAGCCCGTATCTCGTTCGTCCACCACACAGAGTCTGCAAAGGTCACGTGCTACAGTGAGCATTCTTTATTTTATTTTGGTGGAACCAGGGATTGAACTCAGGCCCTTGCACTTGCCAAGACGTGCTTATTCCACTGAGCCATCTCCCCGGCCCCCAGTGAGCATTCTTGCACCTGTCTCCTTTGAAGGATACTCTTTTAGCTCAGATACCTAGAATTGCAGGTGACAGCATTTATGCACAAGTTTACCAACTGGTACCAAATTGCTCTCAGTCTCTTGGACCAATATATGCCCACCAAGAAAGCATAAGGATGCTCATAGCTTTATGCCTTCAGCAAGAGTTTCTTTTTTCTATCAGATGTTAGTTTTGTCAACATGATGGACATGAAGTGATCACTGAGAAGATGGGCAGCATCACTTCACTCGTTGGCCGTTTAAGTTCTCTTCCATTTATATCCTGGCTCAGTTTTCAAATGAACTGACTTGGGTTTTTCTTCTTAATTGATTTGAAGAAAATAATTAATTCTATCCATTTTTAATTTTACATGTTTTAGACATACTCCTTAAGACAGTGGCTTACAGTTATTTTTGATAAAAAGAACCTTTTAAGTTTAATGAAGATAATTCTATTAATGTTTTCCTTTATGGTTTATATATTTGGTATCTTGCTTAAAAATTTCTTCCCTGTCTTGGGTTTTCAAATTCTGTACCATGACATGTATCATAGTATTCTTTTCTTATTTTTGACATCTACACAGTCTCTTCCATAGCTTCTTTTTTATTCTTTATGTTTTCCTTCTCTCCTTTCTCTTCGTGGTACCACACATTTGTGTACTTTATTAGTGTGTACATAGAGCATAGTTTGATTTTGTTGCTTCTCTTGTTTGTGTTCCCTACAATGCAGAGCCTAAGATGATGTTTATGTGCTAACATTGTGTCAGGAGCAAATCCCATGACAATCAGAGTGAATGGTGAAAGGAATCTGGGTGTAATTTTCCATTTTAAGTTTAAAAATAAAATGCCTAATTTTCTACCAGGCTGTACAGTTAACCTGGGTACTTTATCATCAACTTCTTTTATGCTTTTTGCGTTCTATGCTGAAAACCACTCATCCATTCTTGCAGTTCTGGAAGGCATAGAAACCCAAGTAAAAACTGATTATATAACACTTTCATTTCACTTTTTGCTTAATTTTTTTTCTCCTTTCTTTAAGACAGGTCACAAACCATATGCATTCTCTTAATACAACTTGTGTAATCAATTCCTATTACAACAGAAAGCAATATAAAAATATCTCCAAGGGAAAAGCCTTTTAATATGTATGTCCCTATGTCTTCATATTTGACTGAAGCGTAATAACTCACTGAAATGTAATTTAATGTTAGCATGACTTGTAAAGTTTGTTTCTTTTCCTTTAACTTTCTATCTTACTAGATTTTCTTTCTTTTTTTCTTCATTTCCTTCTATTTCAGTTTGCTTTTGGAATTGATTCCTGTAAACATGTACAAATGTTTCTGTTGAAAAATAACAAGCACAAGGACCCTGATTCAATGCCTGGTACCATGTGCTGGGCTGACCCTGTGCTATGCCGACCACAGAAACCAGGCATGGTGGCACACACCTGTAATCCCAGTGCTGGGGAGGCTGAGGCATGGTGGCGCACACCTGTAATCCCAGTGCTGGGGAGGCTGAGGCAGGAGGGGCACCACAAAAGAAAAGTTAGTTATTAACTCTGTTCAACTTCTATGACTTTGATTTTACATTTAAAAATACTTTTGTATGTCACCTGTTTATTCACCTAAAATATCACACTTTATTTCTCTTTACTGTATTAATTTTCTTGCTTTACATAGTAGTCACCACACATTGATGTGAAGACCCCTATCAGTAAGTTTATTTTCTGCATGTTCGACTCCATGAACATTCCCATAAGGTGTTTTCTCTTCTCTAGCTTTTCACTTGGGCGTCCTGGGCTTTGTGGCATGTGCTTGGACGTTCTATCTTTCATCTCATGTTATAAAGGACCTTAGCAAGGACCCATTGTGTTATGATACAGTCTGTGAAAAGTATCAATATTTGCATTTGATTTCATTTTTTAAAGTCATGTTCTTTTGTTTGACTATCAGTGTGATTATACGAATTTTGGTTTCCTGGCCAAACAGCTCAAGTGGCCTTTCCTAGCCGGTGTGGGCATTTATCTAGTTATTAGTTCCCATCACACTGCCTTTATCTGCATAATTACTAAAGTTGTAAAGCAACTGCATTATTTTTTTACTTTGAGACAGTGTTGCTAAATTCCCAGGCTGAGCTCAAACTGGTAATTCTTCTGCTTCAGGCTCCTGGGCAGCTGGGACGACGGTGTGCAGCACCTCTCCCTGTGCAGTGTGAATTTTCTCTCCCCTCTCACCTGTTACTTATACCCAGGTGCCCAGATTTCTTTGGCTTTCAACTAGTCAAAATAATATTTGTATGATAACTCTTCACTGACCTCTCAAGTTACTTTGTATTTATGATCATGCATCTCAAATACCAGCCTTCGAATTTCCAGCAACCCTTTTATTATGTCGCCGTGCTAAGTTCCTTCTTTTATTCCCCAGAATAGCTCTTTCCCATCTTTTTGTTTGCTATTGAGTGCACCATCTTCAGCACTTTCAACCAGTAGTGTGGGCTGCCTGCCCCATAGATACATCAATCGTTTCCACCACAGAGAATTCTCTCACTTACCCAACCAGATGCACCTCGCACACCTGTATTCACATATCCCCTTCTGCCCTGTGTCCTTGCTGCTGTACAGGGCAGTAGGACAGAGCTGTCCCCAGACTTTTTCACTCGCATAAAGACATTCTCCCAGCTTCCATCCCACTTGTTTTTCCCATTTAAAGCAAAGCTTCTTAAGAGAGCCTCTCTCCATTTCCTTCTCCCATTCCTCCCACAGCTTGCTTTTGAATTTCATTTCCATCACCCATGTGACTCATAACCAACATCTTGCCAAAGCCAGTAGCCTTGCAGGATTTATCCTTGGACCAATGCTGGTGCTACTTCCACCTCATTTGCAGGCTGCTTGTGGCTCTTTAGTCCTCTTTGCTGGTTCCTCCCTCTTCTGGGTTTTTAAACATCAGCTAGATTGCACTCTTTTTGGCTGTCGTCATATGACCATATACTTTAGAAACAGCCTCTTGTTGAATCATAAGTTCCTATTTTTGTTGTAGACCTCTCTCCTGATCTCTAAAATATGTATCCAACTACTATTTGACACCTCCATATTCATAAAACAAAGTAATAAAGTATCTTCTAGCAAACCTGACATTCTAGGACATAAATTCCTATATAGTGTCTCCTCAAAGTAGACTTAGGATCTCAAGAGACCATTGGAACGAGACACAGCTTCTACCCTCCCTACTATTTTGTCTGGAAAGTTAAATAAATAAATAAATAAATAAATAAATAAATAAATAAATGAAACAAGGGCCAGAGAGGGTGCCAATGGTGATGTTTCAGGATTAAGAATATCAAGCAATCTTGTGACTAACAAATTGCTGAGAACTCCTGGTTACTGTCCTTGAATGAAGCGCTTGACAATTAATGTCTCTTCAGGACTGTCTACCACAGAGTGAACACAAGTAGCCTCAGCAAGTGAGCAGTGTCTTGCTTCCTTATTTTCTAAGTGAAGCAGTAGATGACTGTCTCAATTGCCAGTAGCCCTCTGCTTCTCATACAGCAAGAAGCAGCCACTGGGATGAGTGGGAAGGACAGGGAACCTCAGCGGTGCACATTTAGTTCCCAGTTAATGAGGCTCCAGAATGTTTTTGCATGGTTGATGTAATCTGAGAAGAGTTTTCTGTCAATAGAAACTCCTCTGTTTTTCCTTTGTCCTTTCATTGCCTGTGTTTATTTTGGGTTCCAGGAAAGATCAAGTGACTGATTGTACAGTGACCAACATGAAACCTGCTGGAAGGAGAAAAGGGAAATCTGGCTCTTTTTTCATAGCTCCTCATGCTTGTTGCTCTTGCTCTGAAAGCGGTTTCTATTATAAGAATGTAAAAGGATTTATTTCTTTTGTTTTCTTTTGCCTCCTTTTATGGTCTCTTGGTCCTGTCTCTGTCTTTGTGCTCCTAGGAGTCCCGGTTTCCTCTCTAGCCCTCCAGCTCTTTCCAGCCAGCTACTCTCTTTCCATTGTTGGAGGGGCTGTGGTGAGAAAAGCCTGCTGTTCCATCCTGGCCTTGCCAGAGAAGTTGTGTGGCTTTAGCCATGTTCTAGCCACCGCCACTCAGGGCCTCGTTTTTCTCATCTGTAAAATGAATCCGTTTGGTTAGGAATTTAGTGTCTGCCAGCTCTGAGATTGTCTCTCTTCTATACTGTTTTTGCTTGGAAGACTTCAGTGCTTGATTAGGATATAGGCAAGCATCACCTCAGATCCTTTATAAAAATCACATCCTTGCCCCTGTCTCTGAATGCAGAAACCCCCCAGTTAAGTTACCCATCGCTGTGCTTATCAGAGCTCGTCCAAGAACTCTGTGTGGTGAGATGTGTTACTGGCATCAAGAAAGAGAAATAAAACACTGCTTGATTTTCTAGGGTCTTGAATTAGTACATGAGACTCCAGACATTGCTGGAGTATGAAAAAAATGTTAGGAGAGTTCTGAAAATTCATCAGATTTCTGCTAGTAACTTGAACTTCCTGGGCCTACATACCTCATTTGTATAAATGAAAGAATGGATTAGATCACAAATTCTCAACCTGGAGGCATACAAAGAGTCTTTATAAAAATTAAGATTTTACTAGGTTTACTAAGATCAATGAAATCTGTTCTTTTAGGGGGAGCAGAAGGACTAGGCATAGTGTTTGTATTTTCAG